TAACTCTCTGCCTTTCCCTTTCGTTTCTTTTCCGGATGAATGCTGGGCTGCAAGAGTAGTCACATCTGCCGAAATTTCCACAGGTGACTTGAAATGGGAACCCACAAGGATTGTTGTAGAAATTCTCGGGAGTTGGAGGTTCTGCTGTTAATGGAAGTAGAGGCAACTCTTCGGAACTATTGAATTGACTGAGGTCCTCTGGGCACAAATGAAAAGTGGCAAAAAGGTCTCGGTAACAAAATCTGGACATCTGTCCCACGTAGGAGTCACTGAAGGTTGGCAATTTGTCCATGGCATCCCAGGAGATGTTCCTGGTAATGGTGTCTCAGGTAAAACTGAAAATGTTCAAATGCATAGGAGCACAGTGAGTCATAGGTTGCCCAAGACAAGGTGTGATTGTCAATATTTTAGTGCACTTCAGATGTAATGAAAATATGTGAGAGAATGTACAGTTGTAATCCTGACCTACTTAAGCTATATTTTTTATGAAAAAGGGATGTTGATTACATTGCCAATATGTGTGATCAGTGTTTATACCCCAGTAAATCTTTGCTCTTTATCTTGAGTCACAAATGTTAAGATAGACCAAGCATCACAAATTTTAAGCTTTATAAGAAATGTAAGAATTTTCATTATTATTTCTTTTGCTTAGTCCTCATGATTTGAGTCTATACCTAACTTTGCTCATGATCATCTTATAATTAGTCCCAGGGAAAGGGGATATGTTCTATGCAGTTTACAATATTAGTAACTGTTCTACAGTATAAAATCAAACAGACATAAATACTCTTTATCTTGGCTAGATTGTGCCTCATTTTTTTAGCAGGTACTTCCTGTTTGGACAATATGTGATGAAATATTTATCCATAATACAGTTCTTCCAATGATAAAGGACATTGTATTACGAGTATGTCTTATACTATATTGCAACATTCTATATCAGCAGTATAAAAATAACTTTTATCTTTTCTTAAGCATGGATTTATTTATAAGAAATCATATAAGCAATCAAAACCTTTCTTGTATGGAAGATTTCTTCACATCAGCATACCATCAAATATTTCACTTTAAGTATGTAAAAGTAACAATCAAATCATATCACCTTAGCCAATCTATATTGTTAGAACTTCTGTGGTACAAAAGAAATCTATATAATGAGTTTAAATACACTAATTGCTTCAGAACATTTAAGAAAACTACCTCATCTTAGTTGAAGGTTCAGGCTAACTGCTTCAATATCAGACAACTCCTAGAGTTAGAAAAGAAGTCTAAATTCTTGATTCCTATAAGGTGAAATGGAGAACTTCCAAAATCACTTACCAAATTCTAAAATATTGTACAATATTCTGAGCTCTATCTAGAGCATCACACTAATATGAATCATATTTTGCATTAAAGAAGATAAAAAAGACCCTGAAGTATTTAACTACATGTATAGTTTAAATATTTAAAAACTCGAGGTTAACATTAATAAAAGCCATGCAAAATTTGCTATAAGCCTGAGTGTCTTACCTGACTTCCACAGTTCTTATGTTTGGTGAATTGAGTCAAAGTCAGCTCTAAATTTATACTCAAATGACAATATGCAAAGTAGCTTACAGTTAGATCTGCTCGTTTCTGGTTTAGCTTCTTCCACCCACACTGTAGCTATAAAGGCAACAAATATTGACGGATTTGAATGCAAAACATATTTATATGACTGTTAATATATAATGTGCAGCATATTTATATCCTTCCAAGATATGTTGTAACATTCTAATTATAGATGCATTTATTACATCTGCTATTTTTATATAGGTTTGTTACATTTGTATCATTTTTATCATCAAAATAATAGCTTAATGCTGAATGTTTACTGTCTGAAAAGTTTAATTGAAAATGTCAGAAAACGTTGACAGCTTATTAGTAAGACTCAATGACAGAAGACTATCCAATTTATCAACAGAGATGGTAATGTAAGGAGCCTACTTTAAGTAGTCTTGGATTATGATTTATTAAAGTAATAAACTCAATTTTTAAAGTGAAAAGAAGTGAACAATGTAAGAGATTAATGGAAGAACAGGCTCTTAGCAATCCCCTACTCCATCCTGACCTGGCTGCCTTCCCAGTGATGGGTTTCTGGTTGTGGTTATAATTCCAAATATATAACTGAAACTCTATGGGAATAATAGGATTTCCATCTGGGCAGAAAACAGCAAGCAATGAAACATTAATGTTCTCAATCCTAACTACTAATCTGATCCCAGTTAGTTTTCCATTTAGTAGATCCCAGTTAGTTCTATGGTTTTCCAAGAGTAGCCATAATAGACAGAAGCAGAGGCAATAGCGGTAAGGATAGAAAAAAGTAAAATATAAGTACCATCTAGACCAGGGATTCCCAATCCCTGATCTGAGGCCTGGTACTGGTCCACGGTCCGTTGGAAACCAGGCTGCGCTCACTACTGGCGGGGTGAGCATGGAAAGCTCCATTTGTGCAAATGGTAAGCGCGCGTGTGAAACCATCTGCCCTGCTTCTGCCACTGCCGCCATTGCCAGTCCGTGGAGCTGGAAAGGTTGGGGACCACTGGTCTAGACCATATATATGATAATAGCAGTAATAATTCCAAGCAAGAACATCTCAGTCAAGATAGCCAAAATAACCACAAAAATGGGGGGGGGAATTTAAAAGAAAAATCAGGATTTTTTCACAGCTAGGAAAGGTCTCTTGTACTTAAAGCTAATAAGGAAATAGTTCTAATAGTCACAGATGAGGTTAGATGGAAAGCTATATTAGATGGAAAGCTATACAAAATCATTTACAAATGGGATAGTGGAATGAGAGAAACCCTTGTCGAGAGAGAATACATTCAGAAACTGATGCTTCTAGAAACCAAGGTACAATACATAGTAAACCAACTTTCAAATTAGAAAGAATCAAGTACAATTGAACTGTTTCAAGCTACAGAGGAAAAAATCTCAGTCTGATGATTGAGGAGGAATAAACTAGCTGATCCCTTAAAATAATGAATGGCAAGCAGAAACTGATATTTGAAGTTAATAAAGGAGAGTATTTGTAGCTCAGGGTTGACATGAGGAGTCCATGGTGCTCTCTGAGCTTGCTTGATTTCTTGCAATTACTCAAACTAGGTAACATCCTCAGCAAAGATGCACTAGACAAAAATAAGTAAACTCATTCTGAAAATACTGCAATGGGATACCTACAACCCTTGAACTAATTTCAGATCTTATGTGCAACAGATTATTTAGGACATTCAGACATGAAGGTTTGCTTGCAGCTTGGGAGAGTATGAGAAAAAACTATAATCTGCCTCCTTTGTGGATTTAGACTCACTCAACGACTGCATAAGCCCTCCCTCCATTTTGTAGTTCCTCAGGAAATGCAGACTTTTTCATGCATTAAAGGAGAGATCACAGCATCATAGAGCAAGAATTAGTAATTGGGTTTTGCTAAGGATGTATCCCTCCAAGTACCAAGAAGTACCTGTTAAGGAAGCATGGCAGAAAAGGATTACATCACTATCTCCCACTTGCATGCAAACTACAGACGTCCGGTTGGCCAATGAAAAACATACTGGCTTAAGATGGGTCTCTGAAATGTGCAGTTGATTTACAAGGAAATTTTGTGCTAGCAGGGACAGTTCTCCTTTGACGGGTGACTTCAAGATCTTGGATGCTTTAATTCAAATTCTTAAGCAGGGAGATGGACTCAATGCTCAGTATAATTGAGTATTCCAATTAAATGGATTTTCTGTGTGTCTGTGTGGTTTGGTTAAGCTTAATATACCAAATGCTCATTTTCTCTGCCTATTCATGTAAGAGATAAATATAGCTGCCTAACTCACAAGTTGGCATACCAGGCAGTGTATATCAACAAAAGAGTTAAAATGTATTGAAATATTAAAATCAACCATGAATCAACAACAAAACTCAGAGTTGGGGCACAAGCAACAAATACTATGCCTTACAGAATGAACTCATCTGATTTCCTTACCCCAGTGCCCAATAGGATAGCCACATCTTCACAGCCTTCCGGAAGGCTAACAATGTGAGGCCCAATCAAATCTCAAAAGAAAAGTTATTCCACAGCTCAGGGGCCACAACCCAAAAGCCCCACCTCCTAGGTCTCATCAGAGGACATGTTTCAAGGTAAGGTCCTGGAGCATGTCCATTCTAGAGGTTATTCATTGATATTTCTCAACTTCAACTTCTCAACATCATCAGACTCTAGGTAGGGAACAATAGGACAAAACCACAAGTTATATAATATAACCCCTACTAAAAACCATAGTGGCTTTCCCATTCAGTTTAGGACATAGTCTGATGGGATAAATGTAGAATTTGCTTGCAAAAAGCCAGGAAGCTGGGAATCCCAACCTCTGATGGGAGACTATTCCATGCAATGGAAACAACAGAAATCTACATTGTATTTTAGAAAGACAAGGGATGAGTACTTTTGGTTAAGGCAAGGCAAACTATTTTTCCATTCACTGGTTCATGAGGACATTATAGTCAAAAAAGCAGCTGGATGTTAGAACTGGACTGCTGAAAATCTTTAAAAGATATGGAGATTGCCCATATGTATGACTTTGTTGAATAGATGGCAGAAACCACTTTTTTGCAGCCATTTGTAAGAGTTATGGGTTCATGCTCTTGAGTCTTGGGCATTAACTGCAGCCTTTTATGGACATAAGGTTTGACCAAACCTCATGTTTTTAATTACTTTGGAGCTTACTTTTTTTCATTGCTTTTAAAATTGAAAAACCCTCAGATCTGCAAATTTACCAATCACAGGAAACTTTCTCTTCATCCATTTATTTTAAAAAGAAAAATGTTTTCCCAATTTTGTAATAATTTTTTGCAATTGTTTTGCAATACACAGCAAAGGCTGTGAGGCTTTTAAGGGGTAAAGTTTTGGATGAAATTGATGCAAAGAAAAAAAATGATGTTAACTAGAAAGATCTTCGATAAAAATGATAAGAATTTTGAGGCAAGGGGCAAAGATAGAAGAAAATAGAAGTCAGAATTGTATCCAGGAGGGAGGAGTACAAAATTGGCCAATTTTAGTTATGGTGTATAATGGTTATCTTGATTAAATAGGCTTTTGTGAGGGAGAGATGTATGAAATAATGCCCAGAGGGGGAGCTGGTGTGAAGGACTACAGTGAGGTGGCAGTTTCCCAGGAAGACAGGAGCACTTTCCAGAAAGGGGGGGGGGATGAGACAGGTGGCAGCATAGCCCTGAGATGGAGAGGAAAAAGTTGGTATAGCCACTCTCTAGAATCTCCTAGGTATATCCAAAAGGATTTAGGGTGGCAAGATTTTGTCTGTTATGTGTAAGCAAAGAAAACTGAATTTTGGCTGAATTGTTCCATGCCATTCTTGGGCTTAGCCTGACAAAATGTTTAACTTGATATAATGTATATAATGTTTGTGACATTAACTTTATCCATTTTTGTTATCTAAATAAGGGATTATTGTTTCTGGTAATATTTAATACTTTTTAATTGTTTTGCAATATTTAATTGTCAATTGGGATTAGATTTTGATTATTAAAGAAAGGGATGAGGGATTTTTGACTAAATGGCAAGTATATACTTTTGTTAGGTATTTTTGCTAATTCTTATTAGACCCTTGCTAATTAATAAAGAGCTAAAGATTTAGAGATGAGTTCATAGAAAATGGGTTGAGCTATGGAATGAAGATTATTTGGTTGTATTTTAAGAGACAGTGATAAGTTGTTAATGTTGAATATACTTGCTGGGGATGAAGGGGAAAGTTTCTTACTAGCTTTTTGGGGGAGAGGCACATTTTTTTTCTTTCACCCTTTTTAGTATTTTTGAATTAGATCCTTGTATTAGATTTATGTTTAATATAATTCTTAATAAAATTATTGGGGAAAAAGGCAACGGATGTATACTCTTGGCAGGCCCTCTTGCAATGACCGAACTAAGGAGACAGATTCAGCTTTGGCTGCATAATATAATCAATGTTGCACTATATGGATCTTTAAAAGGTAACAACCGGCACTTTGAACTGGATTTGGAAACCTGGTTGTAACCAATGAAATGACTTTAAAATACCGTATTTGCCGGCGTATAAGACGACTTTTTTGCCCTGAAAAACATGCCTCCAAGTGGGGGGGTCGTCTTATACGCCGGGAGGACTCCGACTCCCACTTCGAGCTTGAGTTGCAGCCGGGAGGGAGGCTGGGGGGGGAGCGGTGTGTGTGTGTGTGTGTGTGTGGCGGGTGTCACTCGCCACGCGCTGCGCAACCTTTCCCCCTCTTCCTTCCTTAGCGGTGTGGGGAGGAGAGGATTCGAAGATCCTCACGTGCGGCGTACTTTTCTTTTTCTTTTTTTCTTTTTGCACGCAGGTTTTGCATGCGGGCGGCTGTAGGTTAAGGATGGGGGAGCCCCCGGGTGGGTTATCAGGTTTTACGGTGCTTCCAACATGTGCGAACGGTGGGAGAGCGGAGAAGAGAGCGAGCGAGCGCCCCGCTGTGTGAAATCCTGCCGTCAAAGCAACACTGGGGGAGGCAGGGTATAAATTTACCAGGTTAATGTAGCAATGGTGATTAATGCCCAGAACATTGTTTGCGGGTATTGGGGTGTGTGTGTGTGTGTGGTGGTGGTGAGGAGAGGTTGTCCTTTGAATGCGGAAAAGTAGGTGTGACCTTGTGTAGGAAAATAAAGAGATCCTTTTTAGCGTGTTTGGCTTCTTTGCCTCCCCTCGTTCGTTTTGACGTGGAGATAATGGCCTTCGGGCGGGAGGGGAAGAAAACGGTAGCTGGATCATTTCAAATTTCACTTACTCTCCTGCCTCACTTCAATATGTCTGAGCGACTCCAGATACTGGAAGACTTTTTGAATGAAAGTGTTACCTCCATTTTTTTTTTTAAAGAGGGCCACTTGGGGAAAAAAAAAGATTCTAAGGAATTCCTTGTTTCTTGATTAAAGAGAAGGCATTGAATATACTGTTCCTTGGCAGCCTTTTCAGTGTCCGGGTTTTTGGTGTGTGTGTGTGTGTGTGTGTGTGAGAGAGAGAGAGAGAGAGAGAGAGAGAGAGAGAGAGAGAGATCAGCTGTATTGAGAAGAGAACGTTTCCTGTGTTCTCATTTTATTTACAACATATTTTACGCTTAATGGTAAGCAATGAAAAATATTTTTAAAACTCATTTCTAAACTCCATAGCTATTTGCATATTCTTGGTTCAAAATTGGATTAGCTCATTTCAAAATTGTCCAAAGCAGAAAAGTGCGTCAAAAAAAAAAAAAAAGTGCAAAAGTGGGAGGAAGAGGGGGTAGTCTTATACGGCGAGTATATAACAAACTCTATATTTTGAGTGGAAATGTTGGGGGGTCGTCTTATACGCCCAGTCGTCTTATACGCCGGCAAATACGGTAGATGTTATTCTGTATTGGTGGGATTGATCTTCTAATGCTCCGGACACTGTTTTTTATACCAGCTGTAACTCCAAGATGATCTCCAAAGCCATCCTGACACAGAGTATTTGGCAATAATCCAGATAAGTGGTCCTTATAGTAAGACTGTCATTGGGGCATTCTGGTCCAAGGAGGGCTATAACTGGTACAGCAATGGAAGCTGGATAAAGCTCCCCTGATCACAGCTTTCACCTGCCATTTAAGCAGGAGCTACAAATGCAAGAGACACCGACCAACTCTTTCAGGAAGAGCATGAACCTGTCTAGAGGGATTGATGTTATTTGGATGCTATACTGTATATTGATGAACAGCAGCTCTATCTTGGATGGATTTACTCAAACTCTTGTTTTGCTCCACTCCAATCTTCATTGCCTCCAAGCATTAGATTAAAAAAAACAAAACTCTACGGCATTTATTTCAAACAACTAGGAAAATAACATTGTGGAGTCCTTCTAAGTTTAATAGTTTCATCCTCTGACTTCTTCTGGGTACCAATTATAGTGGCCTAATAGCCAAAATGGATTGCAGATAGGGTTTCAGATCAAATATGAAACAATACTACTATAAAAGGTGTGATTTAAAAAAACAAATCTACCTCTGATACTAATATTCTGAAGACTTTATTTGCATTCCATTGTCAAGCTAATTTTAAAAAATAATTATCCACCAACTATTGAAATTTACATGAATTGCAGATAATCACAGATTTTTAGCAAGCGGCGTAAAAGGTCCAATTCCAATTGCACATTGCACTAAGTCTGTATCTTTAGTTAATATGTCAAGCCTCTAGCTTACCAATTATCTCTGTACATGTAAGGCCTACCTTATATTTATAGAAGCAAGCTAACAAGCTGATAGAAATATAATTTAACAGTTCAAAGTTTTAGAAGTGATAGTTATATGTGCAACATACAGGTGATAAGAAAACAAGGTATTTACAAAAGATTTCATATGTAGATCACTTGTAGCATACATGATGCACATTCTTCTCCAAATTCATGTAAACCTCATTTAAGAACCATAGACAATTTTCTCTCCATTTCATAAGGATCACACAAATAATTGCTTATATTTTATTAGTAAAAGCAATTGGGTATGTACAGAAATTTTGGCTTATTAAAAGATTTTAAGATCTTCCATTTGTGTTTGTGCTATCTTTGTTGGTAAGATGCAAAAACAAGCTTTCTGGTGTGGCTTTTCGGGAAGACAGAGGTCAGTGATTTATTTTAGCGCACTTCAATCAATATCTTGGAGATGTCACTGGTATATTAACTGAGCACAACATGGCGATCAAATACAGATTTACGCTGTTCTTGGACTTGGAGTTTCCATCGCTGCTGGGCATATTCAACTTTGTTCAACATGTTGGCCCTGCTTCGGGAACGTGCCAACACATCATGAGCATTTGCAAAAGGCTGGTGATCCTGAAAGGAAGAAAATATTTTTATTAAATATTATTGCTCAGTATTTCCAAGCTAAACATGCATCGACAGATATATCCTAATCACACACAACCCACACACACACACACAAAGGAGTGAGACAGACAGACAGACAGACAGACAGAGACAGATTCTTTACTTAACATCATGAGGAACAAATATATAAAAAGTTTCAATAACAACTGAATTCCAGGCCCAATTGTGGTCATTAGCTGAGGACCATCTGTACGTGAAAACACATGTCAACTACTAACAGCACTATATAAGACTTTCCAAGACAAAGAACAAAAAAGGCTAAAAACCCTAACCCTAACCCATATAACAATAACTCTGAGTGTTTGTTATTGGAATTTAGGATTAAGCACTAGAGGGATGTTATGTAACCTGCCTGCAAATATAAAATAATGGACAGCAAGAGCCCACATCAGAATGGAGGAAGCAACTGCAGAATGTGTGATCACTCCCCCTCCAAAAGGAATACGGTAACTATTAGAAAGGATAACAACCTAAATCCATCAATAGGTAAGAAGAGCCCTTTTTTGCTGGGGGGGACACACAAAATTCTACTGCAAAATGAACCTACAGACATAGATTTATAGTGTCTTTGGGTATTAACATAACACTTAGAATTAGATTCTTCTTTCTCTAAGAGGGCATTCAAATTTAAATAGCAAGTACTATGTGACTTCACAAAGTCTGTGTTATTTACTAGCAATATCTATTGTGAAGCTGTTTGGAATATTCACTCCATGATGTCAAAGAATACCAACGTACAAAAGTTTACATTCAATATCTTAATAAAAAGCAAAAATACAGCTGCTTAGTTGACAAAATACCAGGACAATTATGTGTTTATATTAAACATTCAAATTGTTAAGCGTATGAAAAAATAAATGCAATCCATAAACATGGACATTTACTTTCAAATGCTAATACACTTTAAATGTTTGGAACGCTATGTTTAAAGATATGTTTTAGAGAAGGTCATGCTAATTATTTACATAACATATATTTCAAACTGCTTAACATTTTAATTTATCAGATTATTAAAGACTTCAGCATTACTATGAAATAGAAATCCAGCAAACTATGAATCTGACATGTTTGGAAAAATTTCAAATCATGGTTCCTGTGTAAGCCCCATATGGATATCAGGGATTTGTTTATGTTTCTACTGAAATTCACAAGAAAATTAGCTAGATGTAGAATAAATAATTGAACAACTTTGTTCCTTCTTGTATCTTGATGTTAAAGTAAAATAGCTCCAGGAATGACATGGTTTTATAATGAAGTCACAGCAAAATGGGTAGGAATGAGGATAATAATGGTCAGAATACTATTAAGTGAGCAGAACAGCATCTGTTGGCAGGAAGACTTTTTCCATAAAACTCTTTCTCTTTTGGACAGTTTGGGGGCCCTCTGGAAAAGATGTAGAGGGTGTCATGGTGGACCCTCTGGAATAATGGCAGTCTCCTAAGCAAGAGGATATGATGATTCATGCAACATTGTATATAGCTCACTGGAATGCACCAGCAATATTAAGAGAACATTTAGAACCAGGAACCAGGATTTTTTCCCCATGGGCTT